TTTTCATATAATTTTGCTTCTTTTGAGACCCAACATGATATACTTTTAAAAATATATTATTTTTTTTTATTTACAAAAAAGACTTAAACCACATTCGATGCTTTAACTATAAAACTAACAATAAAATAAATCTGTTTAGTGGTGGAGGTCAAAATCTTGTTGCTGAGCAATAAGAGACAGCTAGATATTGAAATAGTAAACTTTCATGAGCGTAAGAAATGTGATTTAAGTATAAACAAGGAGCACGATACTCAAAAATGCAATGAACTAATGATTTGGTATACAAATGCAACGTCTCTGAATAATAAGATTGATGAGTTAAGGTTACAATGTGAAATATATAAACCGGATGTTATTTGTGTTACAGAAACTTGGTTTAAAGCAGAATCAGATGTAAATATAATTAGTTATAATATTTTTAGAAGTGATAGAAAGACTCATGGAGAAGGTGTTTGTATTTATGTAAAACAATGTATTAATCAGTTTAAAACAAATAATTTATGGTTAAACAATAATTTTATGGAACAAATATGGACTTGTATATGTTTTAAAAATAACAAAATGCTAATTGGATGCATTTATAGACCACCAGATATATCTCATGAGTATAATAACTTTGTTTTGCTATCTATTAATGCTGCTAAAATAAATATTTATCAAAAATAATACAGCGATCTTATTATTACAGGTGACTTCAACTATAATATAATAGATTGGTCTGATAATAATTGTCATTTTTCAGCAACTGATAATGAATCTCAAACTAATAAATTTATTGAATGTCTTTAAGATTGTTTTCTGTTTCAATGTGTATGTGAGCCAACATCCCAAGTAGCAAACTACAAATCAACTAATATTCTAGACCTTATTATCACAAATGATAAAAACAAAATTGTTTCTATAACTCACTAAGCTCCTTTAAGGAATGTCAAACAGAGTCATCATTTGTTAAAGTGTTGTTATCTAATGAATGATTATAAGTTTTCAACCGAACATAAGAAATCCATTAGATTATATCAAAAAGGAAATTATGAACTATTTTCTTGCCATTTCAATAATGTAGATTGGGAAAATGGATTTAAAAGTATATCTATAAATGAAATGTATGATTTATTTTTGTATCATTACAATTATGCAACTAATCTGTTTATCCCAAGAATTAATTATCAAAATAGAAGGAACAGAAACAAATGGATTACTCCTGAATTGAAATATAAAATAAGAACTAAAAACAATATATGGTTTGCTAATAAATGTAATGGCTGGAATAAGGAATCAACAAAATTTCAGTATAATAGGCTAAAAATTAGAATAAAGAATGATATTGAGAACAATATAAAACAATTAGAAAGTACTTTAGTTAGCAAGTTTAAATCAAATCCTAAATTGCTTTATAAATATATCAATGAGAAGAAATCAGTGAAAACTCAAATTCGAGCTCTGGAAATTGATAATGGGGAAATCATAAATGATCAATTTGCTATAGCTACTGAACTAAATAAATATTTTCATTCTGTGTATGTTAATAATAATTGTACAAGTATTATTGAGTTTCATAATATACCTTAAAATTTATTATTAAACACAGTTTTAATAACACAAAATGATGTTCAAACTAGACTTCAAGCACTTGATAAGTCAAAATCAGTCGGTTTTGATTTTGTTCATCCATATGTTTTAAAAGAATGCAGCTCGTCAATATCATACCCATTATATTTAATTTTCAAAAAATCGATGGAAACAGGTACCCTACCAGATATGTGGAACAAGGCATATGTAATGTCACTTTTTAAAAAAGGAAGCAAATTAAAAGAATCTAACTACAGACCAGTCTCGTTAACTTCAATTCAATGTAAAGTGTTAGAAAGAATAATGGCTGATTGTATCATGCAACATCTGATAAAAAATAATTTACTTTCAAAAAAATAACATGATTTTATGAAAAGCAAGAGCTCTACAACAAACCTATTAGAATACCTAGATATTTTAACAGATGCTTTCCACAATAGAACACCGGTAGATGTATTGTACACAGATTTTAAAAAAGCTTTTGATAGTGTTTCACATAAAAAGTTATTATCCAAGTTATTGACTTTTGGTATTTCTGGTAAACTTCTTACGTGGATAGTCTGTTTTTTAGCTAACAGAAAACAAAGAGTGGTTTTAGGTGAAAGTGTGACAGATTGGGTTGATGTACTTAGTGGTGTACCACAAGGGTCTGTTCTAGGTCCTCTCCTTTTTTTGGTATTTATAAATGATTTACCAGAAAATTTTATTATGAATGTCGTTTATATGTTGATGATAATAAGATAATTGCACCTATTTCTTCTCAAAATGATTCACAATTGTTTCAAAATGATATAAATAAACTTGACGAATGGTCAACAAAATAGAAATTAGGATTAAATTTTGAAAAATGTGAAATTATGCACTTTGGTTCAAATAATAACGAATATTCATATTTTATGAACAATAACAATACATTAATGGAAATTGAAAAGTCAAAACTAGAAAAAGACATGGTGGTTTAATACATTAATGGAAATTGAAAACAATACATTAATGGAAATTGAAAAGTCAAAACTAGAAAAAGATACAGGTGTTTATATATCAAGTGATTTAAAATGGGCCAAACAAGTAAAATATGCAGCTAGTAAAGCAAATAGTATACTCTCACTACTAAATAATACATTCAAGTACAAGGATAAAGATCTAATAAAAACACTGTATTGTACATATGTTAGACCAAATTTAGAGTTTTCGATTCAAGCATGGAGTCCGTATTATACAAAAGATATTAATAAACTAGAAAAAGTCCAACGAAGAGCTACGAAAATGATACCGGAGCTAAGACATCTTGAGTACAAAAAAAGAAATTTTGGGTTTGACTACTTTAGAGACTAGAAGGCTAAGGTGCGATTTGATCCAGCAATTCAAAATATTTAAAGGTATTGAAATCATTGATATTAAACAAAATCAAACAATGAACTCTATTTGCTCATCAGGTCCTGCAGCTAACATTAGAGGAGCAAAACATCGAATGAAACCTGAATTGGTCAGAAATTGTTTGAAAAGACAATATTTTTTCAGCAATAGAGTTGTTGATTGAATAGTCTACCAGCCGAAGTTGTTCAATCTACTACAGTTAAAAGCTTCAAATTAAACTTGCAATCGGTTGACTTAAAAGCAATAACAAACAATATAAAAACCAAGAAAGCTTATTATTAACGTTTTTATTATTTAGTGACTGAACTAACTTGTTCATTATTTAATTTATACCGGCTGTCATAGATATTGCCTGGCGCTTTATCTCAACAGTATTAATTAATATAATAATAATATAATTTATTAATAAATATATTATTTATTTTTTTTATTTATTGATAAATATATTATTTTTTTATTTATTGATAAATATATATTTTTTTTTTATTTATTGATAAATATATTATTATTTTTTTTAATTTATTGATAAATATATATATATATATATATATATATATATATATATAATTTTTAATTTATTGATAAATGTATTTTTTTTTTTAATTTATTGATAAATATATTATTATTTTTTTTTATTTATTGATAAATATATATATATATATATATACTTTTTTATTTATTGATAAATATATTAGAAATATTAGTGTTTTTGATATATTAGTGCTTTTCTATTTTCTGTTATATAAAAAAATGAATCAAAGAGTTTGCATCAAATTTTGTTTAAAAAATGAAATTAGTTCAAAACGCTTGAAATATTGGCATTGGTCACGAATCTTTTATGAGTAAAAAATTCTAAAAGGGCTACAAGCCCTTCCGAAATGGCATCAGTAACAGATGAAAACGCTAAAGCATTAAAAAAATTGTTTTAACTAATTGTCAAATTACTAAAAGAGAATTTGCTGAGGATGTTGGCATATCAGTTGTTTCATGCTATGCAATTTATTAAGATATTTTTAGCATGAGATTGTATGTTAGCAAAGTTCCTTCCAAAACTGCATTAATTTGACCAGAAGAACCATCAAACGAGTATTGCTCAGGAACTGTTAAATGACATCAATGACGACCCTGATTTGAGATTTGATCAAAAAGGTTAACTAGTGATGAATCATGGGTAAAATAGTTATGACGTCAAAACCAAAGCTCCAATTGTCCCAAAGGAAATACCCAGTAGAACCAAAAGCAAAAAAAGCACTACAAGTTCGATTAAAATTCAAAGTGTTGCTTATTGTTTTCTCTGATTACTGTGGTATAGTGCATCAAGAGTTCTTACCACAAGGTTGTACAGTCAATAAGGAGTATTACCTTGAAGTTATGTGTCGTCAGGGTGTTGGCTAGCCCAATAGCACCGTGTATATCATGGAATTCTCAATGTGTTTAAAATTCCCAAAATTCAATGATCTTTTTTTTTGTAAGTATTGGAAATTTCAATAAAAATTCTCAATATTTTGTAGAACAATAACAATGTTCCCAATATCTCAAAAAATAACACCATACTAGACTCTGTGTGACTATTTCCGAAATTTAAAAGACCTATAAAAGGACAAAGATTTTGCAACAATTGAGGAGATAAAGACTGTATCACTAGAAGAGCTTAAGGCTATATCAAAAAATGCTAATAGAGTTGCTTCGAGAAATTGAAAAAATTGAAAAAATTGAAAAAATTGAAAAAAGTAACAACATAAGTGAGTGTATGGGGGTGAGGTTGGGGTGGTGAAATCAAAATCATAAGCGTGGGGGGGGGGGGGAAGGGAAATTCTTGAAACGGAATTTTGAAAATTAAAGAATCAATCAATATTTCTTTATAAAAACACATCTCGAACATACATACATACATACATACATACATACATACATACATACATACATACATACATACATAAATACATACATACATACATACATACATATATACATTAACATTTGGCTAAAGTATTAGCGTCTAAAAACTAGTTTCTTCGAAAACAAATAAGTATTAATAGTAATTATTTTTTTAGAATATATTGGGTGATTACTTCCACAAAAAAAGACGATAAGTTGCTTTTAATAGTTTCAGAAACGTGAAAACAAAATGGTTGCTAAAAAACAAAGTCATTACAGATTATTCTAGACAATGGAGTGAAAAATGAAGTTTGTTGGAAAATGTTGACATCATGCATCAATTAAAGATATAAGCCAAAAAAAGATACTATTTAAGAATTTTTGTAATATTTCTTTTTTTTTACAGTTTATAATATGTTTTTTATTATAATTCTTTTATCAATTAAAAATTTAACACAAAAAAAAAAGTACTACGTGAGAATATTTGTAATAAAGATTATTTTTTTTACAGTTAATATATATGTATATATATTTTTAAACTTTTTAAACTTTTTTTTAAACAGTTATAAAAAGTAATAAATCGTGAGATGTAAAGTTGATTTGTTTATTCCATTGGCAATTTAGATAATTTAGGCTTGCATGACCCTTCTCTTGTATTAAGCACTTAAGAGTAGTAAAATATTGGTAGTGTGTGACAATAGTGTGGTAACTACTTTTTTAAATCTTTATCTTTTTATTGTTTCTCAAATATTTCAGACAGGAAAAGTTGATAATAATCTGTAATTATTTACTTTTAATTTATTGCCTAATTTAACAAATTGGTTATGAATGATATTTTGAAGACAAGTTCAGAACTATTTAAAGAACGGTTTTTTCTTTTATCTTTATGAAGTGACATGGTAATAGAAATTGTTTCTTTTCTCTCTCAGCGACATCATGAAAAGCAAAATATTTAGCAATATTTAACAATATTTTTATAATCGAGTAACAAAACTTACAACAATTTCTCCTATACTTTGTTTTATGCTCGTAAAAATATAACGCTTATGCGTGATATTCTTTCTTGGTTTGAAAAAATAATCAAGTTTTTCACACATTGTATTGATTGTTATCGTTTCCTTTAAAATTTTTTTTTTTTTTTTTTCTTAAATTTTTCTATTCCTAATGCCTTTTTTGCGAAGCTTTTGTTACTCTTGCAATTCAAAAATAAATCAACAAATCAAAATCTTGTACAACTCAAAATACACGAGTATCAATGATCAAATTTAAAATGAAACTTTAACAGAAAACTGTATTTCTATTAATTTATTCGCAGCGCCTTCCAAGCTCCAAGAAATTAATTAAAAAAAAAAAAAAAGTCACGGGTCGGATGGTGTATACGTTTCCAAGGGCCTAATGATGTAGCCCCATATGCCCTCACTTTAAGACGGCCCTGTCAATTTGCCAGTATATTTAATTAAAATCAGTTTTGTCAATAAACAAATAGTTTCCGAAATTTCCCTAATATAAGATCTTTTTTTAATCAAATATTAGTTTAATTTAGTTTATTTCGCCATTAAAGAATATACAGTATCGGACAAAACAAGTGCAACCAAATAATGCTAATTTAGTTTCTTTATATAAAAGTGTTGCATTTTTCAATTTAGAGAAATAAGTATGTAACTGTTTAGAGAAAACGTCCTTCAAATTTTATTCATCACAAAATTCATTATTTGCAGACGAAAATTAATAAATTAATCAAAAATATTAAAAAAAGTTGATTTTCTTCTGGACAAAACAAGTGCAACTCCACAAAATGTTGACCAAGCTATATTTTGCTATCAATATTTTGTGGCAAATTCTTTATTGTCGATCACAGCCTTGCATCTTCGAGGCATAGATTCAATCAGGTGATCACTGAAACTTTGTAGAATCGCTGCCCAAGCCTTTTGGATTTGTTCAATCAGTTGATCCTTATTACGAACACTTTCGCAATTAATTCTGCGGTTGACAATCTCCCACAGGTTCTCTATAGGATTAAGATTCGGAGATTGAGGCGGCCAATCCTTCACCGATAGGTGGTTGTCTTGAAACCACTGCTTGACTACTTTCGCGGTGTGTTTCGGATCGTTGTCTTGCTCAAAAGCCCATTTTATTGGCATATTCCATTCAGCATGAGGTAACATAACATCTTTCAGGATATTTTTATATATAAAACGGTCCATTATTCCATCGATTTGATGTATTGGATCTAGACCGTTAGCAGAAAAACATCCCCAGACCATTACATTGCCTCCACCATGCTTCACGATTTATGGCAGTAACGTAAATCGAGGCGTTTTCCGGCCGGTTGACGTACACAGCAAATGCCATCGCTCCCAATGATGTTGAACTTCGATTCATTACTTAACAGGACAGTTTGCCATTTCTGCACATTCAGTCGATATGAGATGTAACAAACAGGAGTCTTTTCTTCTGGTTCTTTAGTGAAATCAGCGGGCGTCGAGAAAACAATCCGGTTTCAACAGCACGTCGTCTGATTGTTTGGTCCGATACAGGCAGCTTTAATTGCTTTTGTATCTAGACTGATGATGTCCAGGGATCCTTCTTGACGGACCTGACGATCATAGAATCCTCCCTAGAAGTGGTGGAACGCGTTCTTCCACCTTTTTTTATCTGCTGCCAAATTTCCCCGTAGAACGATATTTGGAACATAGTCTTGATACGATCCATTTTTTCACGCAATATTTATCACAAATACTTTTTTGTGACATTCCACTTACGTAATTGCCAATAAATTTTTTTCTTATTTCCAATCCAAGACTGACGGGAGCCATTTTTGTACTTAAAGTCATAAAAATAATAAAAATAAATAATCACGCTTCTCAAGGCTTACCGTGTTACATTTACCTTGTGATGATACAATAAAACGAAGACGTTGTGCTCTGTGGAACACAACGTCTTCGTTGGATATAGACTGTATTGATGTAATGAAACACTTGTTGTATTTCACCTCTTGTATTAATATTCTTCGATTTTATTGATCTTTATTGATTTATTGATCTATTATTAGAGCTTTATTGATCTTATGACAAAGCACCGGAAAAAACCATTAAACTAGGAAATTCACGCCTCCTTCTTTACCCATGTCGCTTATTGAGTTAAAGCCAGGATCGAACCACAAACACTTGGTTCTGAGCCAGAACTTAAACCTTTACGCAATGGCTGCTCACCCTAATGCCGTAATGAAATAGTTCTTCTTTTGATTTTTTGATTTAAGTAAAATATTGACAGAAACTTTACCTGGAATGAAAATACATATCAAAGTTCAAAAGTATACACTTTTCAAGTATTTTAAGTTACTATGGCTGCAAAAACTGACCCTTAACAACAGTTGCTATACAAGTTATCTAATGTATAGCAACGGCTGCAGTTTTTGGGCGGGTCAAGAGCAGTTTTCTAGAACTACTTGTTGTAATTTGAACTAATTTATTGTAAACGAATATTTTTAGTCTGATGGCTTGTATTATTATTATTATTATATATATATATTTCGTCAATAAACAATCATTTTACAATGTTTTTTGTAAAAATTAAAAATTAAATATTTATATTCTGACAGGAGCAAGCAGAAGACAATGTGTCTTATCACCCTGCTCATAAGTTCGTGAAAATATCAATAAAGTTTTACGTATTAACTTCTTAAAATATACGTTGTATAAGTTTTATAAATATTGCAAGTTTTGTACATAATACAACACATCACAGTTCACAAAATATACATAGGCCACAAGCATATATACGTGTTAACAAATCAATATATAAATGTTTTTTTAAAAATACAAAAGAATGTTTTTATTATTTAAATCTAATAAGTATAGTTTAACGGCTCTTTTAAATAGTTTAATTGAAGTCATGTTTTTTATGTCTCTATTCAGGAAATAGTTCCACAAACGTGGTCCTCGACATGTTATTGAGAAGTCTGTTTTTCTAAGGGATGTTGTAGGTATGAGAAAATTGCTAATGGAATATCTTGTAGAGTATTTGTGATTAATTAAGGTGAAATGAGGCTGAAAATATGTTGGAAGCATGTTGTTATAAATTTTAAACATAAATAACAGATTTTGATAGATGTTTAGTTTATAAATATTTAAAACATTAGTTTTTTTAAGTAAAGGCTCGGCGCATGCATATCTACCTGCATTCAAAATTAACCGGCTCGCTTGTTTTTGTTTGGTATTAATTTTTTTTAAAGAGGATGAATAATTACTTGCCCACGCTATATTGCAATAACTAATGTGACTATGAATAAATGAAAAATACAAGCTTTTTAAGCACATTATATTCAAAAGGTGCTTCGTTTTGAAAAGGATCCCAAGAGCTTTTGAAACGTTGTTTTCCACAAATTGGATATGATTTTTCCAGTTTAAATGATCGTCAAATATTATACCTAGGATTTTCATTGAATGAACTCTTTTTACTTTAATGTTGTTTATAAATAAATCAGGAAGTTTCAGGGGTATGTTATCAGTTTTCGAAGGTTTTGTGAACAGAATGTATTTAGTTTTATCAATGTTTACGGACAGTTTATTGGCTTTAAATCATTCATTGAGATTAATTAGCTCTGTGTTTACAGTAGAAAAAACAAATTTTAAATTAGACCCCGAAAAGAAAATATTAGTATCATCAGCAAAAAGAACAAAAATAAGAATTTAGAGGATAAGTGGATGTCATTAATATATAAGAGAAACAACAGAGGACCAAGTATTGAGCCTTGAGGGACACCACAACTAATAACTTCTAACTTCGTATAAGTTAAATCATACGTCACACATTGTTTACGATTTTGTAAATAAGACTCGAGCCATTTTATATTAGTATTTTTAATTCCATAATTTTTTAATTTATAGAGAAGGATTTCGTGGTCGACAGTGTCGAACGCCTTCGACAAATCAACAAAAACTCCAAGTGTATAATTATTACCATCAAATCCTTTCAAAATATTGCTAGCCAAATCCATCACAGCATGCTCAGTGCAATGATTTCTCCGAAATCCAAACTGTTTAGGATATAAAATATTGTTTTTATCGATGAAGTTATATATTCTATTATACATTATACGTTCAAGTACCTTTGAAAAACAGGAAAGAATTGAGATGGGTCTGTAGTTTGATTCTAAAGAATCGTCACCGTTTTTATAAATTGGAATTACTTTAGCAAGTTTTAATTGATCAGGAAAGTCCCCGTTTTTTAATGAAAGTTTAAAAATAATGAAAAGAGGCAATTCGATAATATCAAAGACACTTTTCAAAACATTTGTATTAATTTCATCAAGACCTGCACTTTTATTTTTCTGATGTATGTCAAAAGCTGAACGAAGTTCTTCAATGGAAAGTTCCGAATTGTCCATAATAAAATCTGATTTTTTCAAAAAAGACTGGAATGTTTTGCTACTTGGAGAGATTTCTTTGGCTAAGTTTTTCCCAACATTTACAAAAAAATTATTCAGTCTCACAGCAATTG